TTAGGGCCTGAGATAGACTGCATTAGCAACTGCTTTTGATTCACTTGAGAGCAAAGGTCAGTAGTTGGAAGGAAAGTGTGTGGTACCTATCAGGTCCTCACGATCCTTGTGTCTCTGGTTCCGTGTGGGTCTCCCAGCCTTGCTTCATCCTGTTGCTGTCAGCAACGTCGATGGAAATGTATCTGTCTAGACACAGTTTAGAGAGTCCAAGCTTTTGGTGGCAATTCCTTGGTGTCTGTATGAATTATGCACTTTGCTTAATGTTTTACTTCTGTCATTGGAAAGTTTTTCAAATGACATGTGGGAAGAGAACAAAATGGATTGTGTTGAAGTTTTGGGTTTTTTCTAAATAATGACACACTCTAAAATGTTATACATTTCACTTGGAACCATCCTTCAAAGACTTTAATAGCTGCCCACCATCTTCCTCTAGAGCAGCTAAAATTACTGTAGAGGGAATACAATCGAATTGGCTAAGAAAACCTGTTCCTTCACTGTGGCTGCAAGCATTACCTCATCCCCCAGGTTTAAAAACATCAGATGTTGGCAGTACTGACTCCCATTGAGCTTTTCCCAGGCCTGTCTATTGGTAATTAGCAGGGGACCCTAGATTTGGTCATCTTGATGCCAACATCTATGTCTCTAAGCACAGGTAAATGTAGAGAAAATAGCTATTCAATAAATTAGCCTGCTATTTCACCATTAAGTCAACCCTTTGAAATGTGACCCTATTCCATGAAAAATCACATGCTTACACAGCATTTCCTTCAGTTAGATCTCTGTCCTGTCCTTCTTCTATTGATTGTTACCTGTGCTCCAAGCACAGGTAAATGTGCTTGGAGACATGGCCTTTCGATGGAAGACAAATACAGGCATGAGCACATTCTGTGATTGTGTTCTAGTCTTAAAACTTGGGTTCTAACATAACAGAAACAAAGATATGTCATCTAAAAACCAAACTCACAAACATCTACACATAATGGAGAGGTTAGTTGTCCATAAAAGCAACCAAGAGATTTTATGGGGGTCAGGGGTTGGAAAATCTCCAGTGCTTCAACTGAAGTAACTTGAATGTAACCTCAAGGAAGCAGGAATAGGATATGACTATAATTGACAAAACGGGCAAATCTACCTGCCTTCCTAAGTCCCACATATCTGAAAAGTATCAACAACAATAAAAAAGTATGCTCAGTGTGGAATCATTACTTTGGTGTATATATCCAGCATTGTGGGGGAACAGAGACTAAATGTGATGGAGAGAAAGTTCCAGACATCAGAGATGGGGGTAGGACTGAAGGGTAGGAGTGTTGCTTCCATCAGATTTCACCATGATCCAGATGAAACATCACTTGGACCTTCCTTTGTATTGATCTGATCTTTTTGCCCATGAGAAAAACATTCTAATTCATAGTGTGACTCCCAGAATTCTGATAATGTGAAAAGATTACTCTAGGTAGTCTCCAAAAAACAAACAAACAAAAAACTGCCTGGGCAGGTCTCCAAAGAGGAATTAGGGTAGAGTTTGTCCCAGAGAAAGATGAATGGCAGTTGAGCAGAATTCTAATCTGCCTGAGGACCCGGGTAGAGGCGGGGGGGGGAACAGCAGTAATGTTTTCAATGGCTCATGAAATATTTATGAACAGACATCAAAAAGTGAATGTTTCAACGTTGCCATCATTCCCAAGACTAGCTCTCAAGAACACTCTGAGTGCCTCGTTTTGCCATGCTATTTATTTTATTTGACTCCTATACTTTGTATGAATACTTGAGTCATCTTCCAAAATGATCACACCATCATTATACTCCTGAGAGCAATGAACCTGCCACTATATATCAATGTCATTCACAAAGCCCTAAGATGGTGTGAATACACAACCCTGGGTTCACACTAATTTTTTGGTCCATGTAAAGGGATACCTAGAATGTGAAATTACATGATTATAATTCTTTTGCCTAAAAGTATACATATCATGCATAGCTTGATGAATTCTAACATCCATATAATCAAAACTTAGACCAAAATTAATGATTAATAAGTTGAGCATATTTTCATGTTTTGAGGGTAGTTTGATATTCTTTTTTGTGAAGTATATGTTCAAGCCATTTCTCTCTATTTCTTTTGAAAGATACATACATATATATATGTATATATATATATATGCAAACCTATTTCAATATATATATATATATACATATATATATTGAAAACTAGTAGATCTTTGCTCAATAAATGTACTACAAATATTTTCTCTCACTCTTTGGATCATATTTTCACTTTCTTAATGATATCTCTTGATGATAAGAAATTTTTAATGTTATCTACTTTATTGTTTTTTGAGTTAGGTTTAAAGACATTTTTGCCATTTTGAGGTCATCAAGCTATTCTTCTGTTTATTCTCCTATTCCCTTGTTTTATTTTTCACAATTAGATTACAACCTATCTGTAACTGATTTTTGTTCTGGCTGACATAGAAGTCAAGTCACTTTTTCTACTGTATGAATGTCCCATTGACCCAACTGACTCATTTTGAGATGACATATATTGCATGGGACCCTATGCGTCAATGACACTTTTTGCCTCATGGCCCTTTTTATTTTCTTTCTGACCTTGTTGTAGGATTTGTAACATAAAGGTAGAAGTTCATATTTCATTCTACCTACAGCTTCAAACTTCTCTTTAAGTTAAAGGAAAAGTTGAAGAATGAAAGCAGTCCTGACTTTGCATTGTATTAGTCAGGATACAGGCTCAGCTGCTATAAGATCTAAGTTGACTTAGATCTTTATTTGTCTCTCATCTAATAATTCATGTGCAATCAGTTCAGAGTGCATATGGTAACTTTTTGGTGTCAGAAATCCAGGCTCTTTTTACCTATTTTCTCTGTATTACTCAGTACCTGGTGTCTGACTCATGGTCTAAGATGATGGCTGCTGTCTTTGTTAGCATACACTCATTCCAACCAACATTAGAGGAAGAAAGGGAAAAAGAGGTCAGTCACTTCATAGTAATAATAACTTAGAAGTTGGACATATTGCACTAATTCTATCCCTTTGGTCAGAATTTTCCAGATGGCCACATTCAATTACAAAGAAGACTGTGAAGTGTGACCTTTTGCTGGGTGGCCATATCCCAGCAGGAATTCAGAAAATACATCACTAAAAGGAAGTGGGGCAAGTGGTTATTGGTGGTAGTAGTTTCTGTTACATTGTTCTTGTCCACCATTTTAGGTTTTCCTTCAATTTCCCAATATGTTGCAATCAAAGCTAGATAGTCGACACCCCCCTCCACCCCCACAAATGTATATGGTAACTACTACTTAGACTCTCTTCAAGGAAATCTGTGGTCCTGCTGTGACACAGTCTCCCTGTCCCAGGTCACTATGCCATGTCTGTTTTGGGATCCTTGTAGCAGAGTATTTGATCTGGATAAGATACTAATAATGATGTTTACAGGTGAGACCTAGAGAGGTTGACTGACATCTCCATGATCACACAGCAGAGCAGAGATTAAAATCCCAAGGTCTAACCTTTCCATCAAATAACTTCCCACACAATAGGTTTCCTTGACAACTACACAAGAGGTTTGCGTTTTCTTCATTACCTATTCAATTTGACAGACGTTTATTGAACAACCCCATAAATCCATAATTGTTGGGGGGGCATTAAAGGAGATCACCTATGGGTAGAAAGAGAAGCTACTTTCACATGAACAGGTACAGAAAGATGAGCACTTCTTACTTCTGCTCTAATAACTCTAATTGAACTCCCTAAGCATGCTGCGCTCTGCGAAACTTTTACTTTAGAGCTAGTCAAGGGGTGCGGCTGAGGGTCATAGTAGATGATGGTAATAAAAATGTACTACTCATGTTTGAGAAAAAACAATTGCATTGTCTCAATAATATTCCCTAACTAGGTAATTGAAGGCTGATAACACTATTCTATATTTATGTTCAATCACAAAGTAAATCCAGAAAATATTTTAGGATCCAAAATTCCACTGACTTTTATTCTTATGTTAACTTTTTCTTCCAAATCCATTAACTGGAACTTTTTTAAAAAATATTTATTTATTTATGCATACAGAACTGGAGTATAGCCCAGAGGTGTAGGGGTGATGAGAGGCTTCACCAGAGACAGAGTGGGGAGTAGAACAGGCAGATCGACGAAGTACACTGCTGAGGGGAGCAGTGGGTGGGCCAGGAGAGGTCTGCCGTGCCATGTGGGTCACCTCTGGGGCAGGGATCAAACTCATGCTAAAGTGGTTTTAGCTTCTTAGTCCTGTGTTTTAACCTGCTGTGCCACCAGGGAGGGCCCTAACTAGAACTTTTGTTTTTAAGATGTAATTGAAAAGCATCTTAGGCATCATTCCTTGGCTCGTTTTCTCAACTACACAGTAAATCTGGTGAATTATTCCTTCCACCAATAACTCCTAGTCAACTTCAAGATCACTCCCAAACTTCTTAGAATGGCATGTCAAACCTTTGTGAGCTTTCCTCGGTTACATCCAGTCCTTTCATCTTCACCTCCCACATGTACCACACTCCAGAGATGTGGAACTATTTTCAGTTTCCCAAATGTATGAGCTCTCTCACCTCTATGCCTTCATATGTGCTCTCACTCTGTCTACTCCTTTCCTTCTATCTAGTGATCTCCTGTTCCCCCACTAGATATCAGCCAGGTCATCTCCTCCTCCAGGAAGTCTTTCTTGATACCCCCATACTGGATTAGGTACTCCTTTGATTGCTTAGTGCTCTGTACTTTGCCAGTCATAGGTTCCATTTACCTTGCTTTGACTGTTGCTTTTAGGTCTTCCTAAAAAGAACATAGTTCCCAGAGTTCCCTACAGAATTTCCTGAGTTCCCTGAGGCAATGAAAACAGGGCAGGACCTGTGTTTGCACAACTGTACGGTGAGCACTTAGCTCAATCAAAATTTTTGGAATGAATGAAGAAATGAATAAATAACAGGCCACTTATTACTTGCTGCCTTCTTATATTTCCTCAGAATTACAACCGCCCCCCTGTGATGGCATTAGCTATCCCCATTGCAGTGAAATTCCTCCAAAGAGGCAACAAAGAGCTGAGCAGGAATATGTCCAACTACCTGTCCCTGGCAGCAATTACCAAGGCGGAGCTCCTGGCTGATCACACGGAGGTCATAGTAAAGAGCATTTTGCAAGGTATGGTCAAAGGCTGAGCTCAAGGAGTTGTTTAAGAGTATTTCCATAGAAAACAAAAGTTTGTCATTTTATGTAAAGTTGGACTTATGAGTTGGGAAAATTGAAGATAACATATTTTTACAGAGTATTTTCTGGAAATGGTTATGGTTTGTGGAAAGTGAGACCTAGAACTTGGAGATGTGCAAGCTTTGCTGCTAGTTGACTGAACATGGGCAACTTTACCTGAAGTGGTTGAGTCTGTGTCTCTTTGCTGAACTGAGATGAATCATTTGGACTCTAACTGAGTTGTAAGCTCCCTTCCATCTCTCAGTTTGGAGAACTGTATCTTCCATGCATTTGGTCACCTGATCCAACTACCTGCCTGTACAGAGGAGAGTGTATCCCATCGATCTTGGTGAAAGAGGGAAAACCTCTTCCTCTGGTTTCTAAAAGCCAGAGGGTTAGAAGAAAAGGTCAAGAAAAAAGACAAAACTTGTGAGCTGACTGACCATAGATCTGGGGTGTATAGCAGGGAGGAGGATAGATGAGCACAAGGGACTGTGGTGATGGATCACAGGTACGTTGATGGTTGGGGGACTCTAGGGACTACACCTGAGGGAGAAACCAATTACTGTACAAAAATGAATAGTGAATAAATTTAGAGGGAAAAATAAAAGCAAGAAAGGCCGAGTGACATATACCAGACAACACTGTGGACATGGTTTGAGACTGATTTATAATCATGCTAAATACAACCACAAAAATATCAAATCAGGATATCTCTGCTAATTGTTTCACATTTGAATGAAAGAGATCAAGATAGTCCACTCAAAATATTGTCTTTGTCTTGTGTTTACCTTTGGTTTCAGCTTAGAGAGTAATAGGTGATATTCTTTGATATGAACCCAAATGTCCTCAGTCCTTATTAATAAATCAGTAAATTTAATGCATTAATAAATGCTTGAAATCCATCTTTTTTTTTCTTTCCTTTTGTTTTTTTTTTCTTTAAATTAATTCGTTAATTACTTTTTCCTGGCACCATTGTAGTCCCCATAGCTCTCCCACCTCCATATCACCTGTGAGCCATCATCATATTGTCTTGTGTTCTTCCCGCTGGTGTTTTGACCCCTCCTCCTTCTCCCTTCTTGCTATATGCCTCAGTCTATGGCCAGCTTGCTAGTTTTGCCTTTTTTCCTTGATAATTCTCTAAGTGCTTCTTCATCCTTTTCCTCTGTTCCTCTCTTTCCTTTTCTTTTTTGACTTTCCATATCTGTTTCTTCAAGAGTACAGATTTGTTCTTTCATTTTAGCTATTCTCTTTTTGTGTTTTTTTCCTCAGAGTATTTTAATTCCTCCACTAATCTTTTTAACATCCTGAAGTTCCTTTATTTTCTTATTTAAAGATTCATTCTCATTCTTCAGTTTGTTGATTGTTTCTCATAGTATTCTGTTCCTTTACTGCTTCTTTTAGTTTAGTTTTTTTTTTTTAAGATTTATTTGTGCATACAGAACTGGGGTACAGGCCAGGTGTGCCAGGGTGGTGAGAGGATTCACCAGAGACAGAGTGGGGAGCAGAAAAGGCAGACTGTCGAAGTACACTGCTGAGGGGAGCAGCGGGGCGGGTCAGGAGAGGTCTGCCGCGCCCTGTGGTCACCTCCTGGGCGTGCTTGGAACTCATGCTGAAGTGGCTTTAGCTTCATAGCTCTGTGCTTTAACCCGCTGCGCCACCAGAGACGGCCCTAGTTTTTTAATTAAGGTGATTCTAATTCTTTAGGTAAAGAATTCTCTGTCAGACAAAGAAATTCTTCCATGTCAGTGTGATTGGGTTCTGGAAGCTGATTTTCTTTCTGTGGTGTATTGCTCTCAGGAGGACTTACTTGATCCATTGTGTTTTTCTTTCTTCCCATTATTTGCTTTCATGCCTGTTCTATTTTTTTCTATATTTACATTATCGTTCTATTTTTCTATTTTTCTATATTTACATTATCGTTCTATTTACATTATTGTTCATTTTATAACAATGTTTACTTCCCCTCCCGTCATCCCCGTCACCCACCAAACTCCCCCCTCCTTCTGATCCCTCTCTGTCCCTCTCCCCTGTAGGTTCTCTCTGGTTTACAATTGTCTGTTTTTTGTATTGTTTTGTTGTGCTTTGTACTGTAATAACAAAACACTCCCTCCCTCCCCCACCCCCCCCACCCCCGTCTCATTGGTCCTCTTAAATTCCTCCTACCCTATAAGGCCCTGTGGCCACGGCTCCTGGGGGCACGTTTTTCCAGAGTGTGCATGGGTCTGCCTTGAACTTGAGCCACTGTAGGTGGTAGGTGGCGCCAGGGAGGGGCAGGTGTTCCTGCTGCTCTCCCTTCAGTTCACACCAACTAGACCACTTCTGATGGCCAGTGGGATTTTTGGGTGCTCTTACCAGGTGTGGACGGATGCAGCTGCACGTTCCTGGGCGGCTGTGGCAGCTGGGTGGGAACAGGGGCTCTTGTGGCATCCCTCAACCAGACCACTTGGGGTATCCTAAGGCCCCTGATAGAGGGCCTGGAGCCACAAAGCTTGCACTCCTGTCTACTGGTGCGTGCGGCCGGCTGAGCGGAATGCATTTCCTGGCGGAGCTGGTAACAGCTGATTCAGGGCACTGCAATGCTTGGTCCTAGTGAGGCTGGGTCGCTTGGGGGCATGGCCAGTTGGGTGGTGTGTCTGGCAAGAGTTTGGATTACAAAGGAAAAATCAAAATTTGTGCCTCACATCTCCAAGTGCTGGTGGCGGATGGGGTGGCCCTGTTCACTAGGTGGCGCCAGAGGGCTAAGTGGGGTGCGTCTCCCATCAGAAGTTTTACCCCTGGGAACTCTGGCAGCTCAGAGAAATATAATGGAAAAATAGAATTCTGCCCATTCTGGTGGAGCTGGCAGCTGTGCTGAGGTCTGGTTTACTCACTCTTGGAGTCCCTCCGGGTGTGGGGCTCCCTGTGGTAGGGGGAGCAGGTGCCTGTCTTTCTCCTTGATGTCACACTTGGTGGAGAGACCTCAGAGCAAGGATATGTGACTCTCAGTGTGAAGCTATGTTACCGATATTACCGTAAAATAGATATTTATTTCTGTTTTACCTATAGAACTTTTTCTCTTCTTTGGGGCCAACTAACAATCCATGAATAGGATTAACAACAAATGACTCCTCCAGTTCTCCAAATGTCTGCATCCCTTCAAGAACTAAGAGTGTTTTTCACTGTATGAGGCATTCCCTAGAAGGGTTCTTAGCACCACGAGACTGGAATATCCAAGCAGTCACCCAGTGGTCTGTCAGATGCCCAGATGTGCCTGAACCCCAACTATGACAGTGGAAGTTGATCTCTCTACCTGTCCTCCCCTCTAAAGATTTGTCAAAGATGTTACTAGTCAATATAATCCATTTCTCAATTTCCTTGGCTACAGGATCCAATTGCTAATTTCACCCTCTACATGATATTATACTTGCTTAAAGTCCAAAAACACAATTATATTTCTTAACCACCTTGGCTATATATTTGAACTACATTTTATAGGAGTTACAAACACTTCTACACGTCACACATTTCAAAACCATGATAGACTTGCAAGTAACTGACATATATTTTTTTAAAAAATCAAATTGTCTCTTTGCAGCTGCCAGGAACTTAGCTCATGTATTTAGAGGTGTTTTGGAAATGTACTTTCATGGCAAAGAGATATTTTGAAATGTGAAGTGTACTTTGTGAATTCTCTGCAAGCACTTGAAACAAACAAATGATTTGGTTTATTTGATCTGGCACTATGAAAATCACTGTAAAATAAATAATTTGACCTGAAAAATATATTTCAGGGTAGAGTTTTAGGGCTGATGTATCTATGAAATTTTGCAGTTACTCACAGGAATCCATCAAGCTTTGATCTGCAAAACAAGTCATTTTGCTGTCTCTAAATAATATATTTTCTGCTTTGCAAGTGTCTTAGATACCCAGCCTAAGAGCCTTATGAACCATTACTTGTCCTTTCTTTTTTTTCTCACTTTCGTTTAGGTTTTCCTCCTCAACATCTGTTATCCTAAACTTCATTCTCCCATTTTTTACCCTTGTACAGAAAGTACTCAATTATTTGCTTTGATCTGAGTTTTACAAGACTGGAATCTATAAAATTATAGAATTATAAATTTAAGTTGGGATATTAAATATGATTTTGCTCAGTTACCCAACCAGTCCCCACCAAATGCCTATTCCATGATAAAACTGGTGATTATAGTGACTGCAGTGACTAAAATTTTTTACATGCTTTCAATACTAAGCACTTTCTATCCATATGTCATTTCATTTCTACAAGAATTCCATAACAAAAGTGCCATGATTATTCCATTTTAGCTATTATCTTAAGTAACAGAAATCCCAGGTATAATCAGCCTGGTGATGATGATAATGATGATGTTAATGATAAAAAAGAGGAGGAAGAGAGAAAGGGAGGACGGAGAGGTGGTGAATGAGCTACATTAACTCCTCACTTGAACACATAACTGAAAAATGCAGGAGTATCTTCTGTGGCCTGATTCAGGGCTAGTGGTAGTCCCAAAAGTCAGTACTTTGGGAAGCCAGTCCAGCTCCTGTGAGTCTGTTTCACATCCCACTTGCAGAGCCTAGGCCTCTCTCACTCCTAGCGCTCATCATCGTAAATACCACTAAGCCAAAGAAACTCCGTATCTCAGCTCATCGTTCTGTTTGAACAGACACAGGTCGCATGCCCATTTCTGGACCCATACATCACTGTTGCCAGGTGATACAGCACCTTGGCTGGGCTTGGGGCTTGGGTCATGAGTTGAGCAGGAAATGGGCATCAAGCCAGCGGAATCCCAGAGGGGAGGGGAGTGGAGCCCTAGAGTTATTGTCCACAGTGATGTAAAGGAACACTGGCTATCACCAACAGTCTAATATAAGCGTGTACTTTTATTCCTGTGTTTCATTTTGTGAGTTTCAGCCTGTTTTGTCAAACCAAAATCTTATTGGCGAAGGAATCTTCC